GCCCCCTCCGGAGCGCTGTCCTCGTTGTAGAGGCGCTTGATCCCGTCGTAGAACTCGTCCACCTCCATCTCCTCCACCTTGCGCTTGGCGGAGGCCGGCTTCCAGCCCGGCCGGATCAGCGGGCGAGGGCGGGTCGGGGCGCCTTCGGGCCGGCTGGTGCTCCTGGGGTCCCGCGGGGCCGGGGGGGGCGGCTGGCGCCAAGGGATGCCCCGGGCGCAGGGCGCCAGGCTGTGCTTCTGGGGTTGGTAGATGTACACAGTGTTGGGAGGCGTGGGAGCCTGGTGTGGAGAGAGGCGACGTGCCACCAGCTCTCGACAGCGGATCAGCTGGGAGCTATCCATCTGGCCAAAAAAAAAAAGAGAAAAGACGGACGACTAGTAAAAGGGTCTGAGTGGAACAGCGACTGGTTTTCATTTCTCGTTACGTTCTCCTCGCGTTCAACAGCGGGAGGGGCGCAGATGTATCAGCCCGAGTCTATCTGGGAAACCACGAGGTGGATTAGCGCGACGAAAACACGATCCGATTTTGACGCCCTGCTCAAATTAGAATTCAATTCTTATACATGTCCAATAAAACGCCTTTCCGCTCACTTTTTCTACTTCGGACATGGGTTACTTTCCAAATCTTATCATGAACTAAGAGTGCCATCTTCGCGTCTTGCCGGCTGCTGAAGATTCGCTACCGAATTCCGATCAGGCAATGGCTGGGCCCAGACAAGACAGAATAAAGCCTTAAAGGCGAGCGCTGACTGTTACCTGGAGCTTCTTCAGCAGGTCGGCGGTGAGAGCGAACCAATCAGGACAGCACTTCTCCAGTTCTAAGGTGACCATAGCCAGCGCCAGGGTGGAGCCCTTAAACTGCAGCAGTGTGTGGTCAGCCAGGCAGTGGTGGAGCTGCCGTGTGAGGAGATACACATGCTGAGAGGGGTTCATTCCCGGCACGATGGCAGAGATCTGGGACCTGCTGGACAGCACCATCGCGTGGAACTAAAGCAATGAAGAATAGACGTCCACATGAGTCATGGTACCCGTCTGTGCAGGACTGCACAACAAGAGGCAGGACTTGGGTAACCAGTCCACCTTGAAGCTTTTTAGCTAATAAAACGTCATTTTCAGAAGGGTGAGAAAAACCTAAAGTTCACAAACTGATGAAAACATGCTTACAATTACAACTGAGCTGACCGTTGTCCTTGAGCTGACCCTGACTGAGTGAAATTCAATATAAACAGAACTCCCAACTGGCAGAATACATCTTGTGAGGCTCTGTAACTGTGAATATAAGGTACGCCAAGAAATCGGGCATCCGCTGAATGGACTGTACTATTTAGCTTTGATCAGCTTTCGAACTACCACTTTAAAAGGTAGCCGTTATTGCCTGGTTATTATTACCAGATGACTTCATTACCAACATGGGAGGGGTTGACAGGTTTAAAACAAAGTGATGCACAGTGTGGAGAAGCAATATTATATGAACAAAGGTTTGTTCTTATTTACAATGCTGTACAGAGAGGTTCTCCTTTCAATATACACGACTGCTATCGACTTTCCAGAACAAAAAAGGGGAAAAAACCTGAATGGGAAAGTGAAAACGTTTCTGCTTGTTGACCGGTTCTCTCAACCGGTACCACCCCTCCTTCTCCCTCCGAACTTGAGCCGTTCGGTTTTTACAAACGTCCAAGCTGGGCGCGCTTGGCTTCGCCTGCCAGTCGCTCCGGTGAAGAGGAAGCCAGCCGGGCGCACTCACGATATGAAGGAAATCCAGCGGCGTGGCAGTGTGCAGGTCCCAGCTCAGCTTATCCAGGACGATCCTCTCCATTCGCAGGATCTCGGACGGAGAGCAGCCGCAGCAGCTGTTCTTGGCCAAGTGCCGCAGGGCTGGGATCCTCTGTGGACAGACGGACGGGGCTCAGACTGCATCGCCACTGTGAAGCCCACTGTGCCAACTGGCAAACCAGCCTCTCGTGAGCTGTACGTTCTGTTTTGAGAAGCTTAGTCCTCAGCTGGCTTTCCTGTGGCACGGCGGTACCTAACCACAGATCTGGACAGATGAGCTCCGACTCTACTCCTCAAATGAGATATCGATTTTTCAAAAGTGTGCTCAGAATTGTTTTTGTTACCAAAAAAAAACAACTCCTGCATATTTTAGGCTTTTGTAACTTTTTTGATTTGTAAATATTTTACTTTAATTCTCAGTACGGACTCCAGGCCTAAATGTTGCAGCGCTTTGATACTCCAAACTACTTTACCTTCGCTTGCACTACTTTCCTTTTGATTTATCCTATTGTACACTAGTCTGTGTAAATAAATGCCACTGTGCTCTGCGACAGCTCATTGTGAGGGGCTCGTTGAATCTTAACTCCTGTAAGAGGCTAACAGCAGCTCGTGATGGTGAGATTACTGAATCAGAGGTGGTTATTGTAATATCGCTGCGTCCACTGAGGATTTCCTTTCACACGATGTCAGATGACATTTTCCTATACAAGATTTACAGTCTGTTGTTAAAACTTCATTTAACAACGCTGTTCATATGTCAAAAACAAACAATACAAACCATGAAACAAAAATACCTGCTTGTTAGGTAAATACTCCTTACGATAAGTAGCTGGTTGGTACAAGCAGTAAGCAAGTTTCAACTAGCCAAGGCTGGACTGTAATGTGTTCTGAGCTGCGGGCGCTACAGGTTTTTTTTCCGGCTTTCAATCTCAATGTCTTTCAACGTTCCCTCAATTACATCACCACATTGAAGAGGCTCAGGCAGAGAGAGCATGGAGGCTGTCCAGGTCAATGCGAGTCAATGAAAACAAGCAGGAATTTTCTTTTTCACTCCACACAATGTGCAGAAATGTCACGGGTCACGCTGATGACTTTCATTGCAATGCAATGTCATTTCAAACGTCCTGTGATTATTCAGGCACTGTACAGCACGATTTGATTTTTTAGACGCTGCTTAGCATTAGCTGAAGCACATCTGTCCCGAATTTGGTGCGATACTTTCCCTACGCTCAAGTTGAAGTGGACAATGCACGAGAAACAAAAAGATAATAATGGCTTTATCAGGTGAAAGCATTTTTTTTTGCTTTAGGAAGAGGCGTTTCTCCTTCCTCTTGCCTCAGAAAGATCTAAGCAAAACTGGTGTTGCACAATATGAGCATGTACTTGTCCGATCACCAGAGGGAGTCAAAGGTTAAAAAAAGCACAGCTCTGGATTCCTTAGGCAGACTCCCCACCACACCGAGCAAACAGACACCACCTTGAAATGTGCTCATTTATCACAACTGGCAGATAAAAGTGAAAGTAACAAGAAGGTCGTTAGGGGCATCCTAGCAATCTCCAGGAGTGTGAGGGGCTCTCGACTCCCGCTGCACGAACAATTTTCAGATTTTATTTACACTCACGACACAGTACTCAACTAATCTCGGCAAGTCGTTTTGGATGAAAGCATCAGCCAGCCAAATGGAAAAGGAAAAGGGACCGTGCAGATTGCATGCCACTGTGAAACAGGGCGAAGGCAGAAGCCGAGACGGGAGGGCACGGAGGTTCTGGTGCACATGAACAGGGGCTCCAGGCATGCATCTCGCCCCCGTGTGCTAGCCCGTGACCAGACAGATGGTGGAGAAGGGACAGAGCAGCAGGGTATCGATGCAATACAGCGCACCTTATGTCACACATGGCCACCTAGTCCACTGCCTTGCCCTCTTATTAAAAGCGTCTAACTTGAAAGAAGAACAAAAACACGCTTCCTCATGTGTACAATAGACCGGAACAAAATCTAAAAACAGAAAAATGCTAAACATCTCACATCAGCATTTAGAACACGTGGGCATATACTATCACTATCAGTCACTATCTTTACTGACAAGTGCCTGGGATGACTGTCCGATTACTTGCACAAATTATTGTTATGTTGGTGGACCAGTAGGTCGCACTCCTAACTATCCGAATTTCCAAACACACAAGTAGTGACTAGGGACACTGCAGTGTAGGCACTGTCTTTCAGAGGAGACATTAAACTACTTGGGCATCAGAACTGCACGGGACTATTTGTAATATTCCACAAAGGGATCATACAGCCTGTCCTTCCTCAAGTTCCATATTAATTCATCAATCATTTTCCCCATTTTTCCCCAGGGTCTGATGTAAAGCAGGGCTGCTATAACATTCCACATTTATAAAGCCAGTCATTCAACCACTGTTATACTTTGCAGTTTACAACACCATCCTCCAGAATTCATACCACATCTAAGAGCTGCTTAAGGAAGGTATGTCTTAGAACACAGTTACCTTCTAAAAAGGCTCAAAGGATTTCACAAACTGCAAAAATCTTTATAGCTTTCATATCAGTGTATTCGCTGTACCATTCCCCACTGCACGCACAGCATTCGAAAAGGGTATCTTCATTTCACTTGGGGTATACAGAAAAAAAATGAAAGAAGAATGAAGAGCCAGGCTTAAGTCTCAGTAGGGTGGGAGTCAGGGAGAGACTTAGAAACTATATAATACTAATGGCTGCAGACGTGGTTTTCCCTAAGATGCCAGCTCCCCGGGAAGCACATAAGAAGGGTTTGTGGTCCTAGCACTGATCCTTGCGGTACTCCACTGATTCCATCACACCACAATGACATCCGTCTAATTACATCAATTAGAGGTCCAGCTCTTCTGGGCGTCCTTACCTCATCCTCCTCGGTGGTTTTGGCAGCCAAGAAGTAGCAGGAGATGGCAATGCAGCGCAGGTACTTCGGACGGGCCTAGGGGAAAGAAGGAACACTTGTTACCATCACAGGATAGACAGTTCTTCCAGCAATAACAGGGCACTGCATTTGGAAACAACAGCCCGACTGCCTCGGACATATAATCCAAGGTACAAGCCAGAGAGAGTCAGGCAAGCATTTTCTTTTTAATCAGAAAGAGGAAGTGAAGTAGGGACAAGTATTAAACACTTTGTGAAATACTGCTTGCTAAACAAGACTACTGAAAAGTCAAACTTCTCAGAAGACATTTCTGATGTAAAAGTCAGTCAGTATTACACTCCACAGAAAGAGCAAATCATATTTCAGAAGTGACAAATGAAAACAAAATGAGTGACAAAAGAGCTCTGCTGCAGTCGGTTTGCTCTCTGACCATGCACGGACAGTAGTTTTCCTCCTGAACTCAGCAAAACTACAAACTGACTCAAGGTAATGATGCATCACAAAGCATCCAAACCTTTACTCTGTGCTATTAAGGACACTCTCGAAATTCTTCCGAGACGCTACCCGTCATGAATGGTCAGAACTCGTATTAATGAAATGGCTCCAACAAGAATTCTCCCAAAAACTGCAGTTACAAAGGTGCACAGTGATGTGAAACAGAAAATACACTTCCTTATGATTCTATAGTTTCACATATTGAGATAATATTTGGCCTTCACCTAGTCCAAACAGGAGACACATCTAACCTCCTGTGATGGATACCACACACAAATTTTAATTTATCATTGTTTATTCAATAAAGCAGCCAACATTCAGTAGTCTTGTGTGAAAACGTACGTATGGAACCCCTTGAGGCAGCAGTAACTTGAAGAAAACGTTTCCTGTAAAGAGTTTCAGTCTCTCGCATCACCGGGAAGAATTCTGGCCCACTCCTCCTCACAGACCTGCTTCAGCTCAGCGATGTTGGAGGCCCGCTCTCTTTAGGCCCCGCCACGGCATCTGACAGAGGTTGAGGTCTGGACCTCGACTTGGCCATCCCCAAATCCTCATTCTATTCCTTTTCAGCCATACGGTTATGGACTTACCGGTGTGTTTCGGATTATTCTCCTGTTGCACGATCCACTTTTGGCTAACCCTAGCCGTTAAGACAGATGGTCTCGCGTTTTCCTCAAGAATGTAGAGAGAGGAATTAACGGTGGACTCCATAACTGTGAGGCATCCAGGCTTGCGGCTGCAGGGCAGACCCAAATCACCCCCCCCTCCGGCACCACGCTGGACGGTTTCTGGTCTGAGGTTCTTGTGGCGATACGCAGTGTTTAGTTTTTGCCAAACATGTCATTTTGCATCACAGCCAAACAACTCCACTTTGGTTTCATCTGACCAGAGGACAATTTTTCAGAGTTCAGAGGACAAGGTTCATTTGAGTGCCTTTTTGGGAACCTAAGCCACGCAGCAACATTCTTTTTGGAGAGAAAGGGGTTTTCTCCTGGATACACTTCCATGAAAGTCTTTTCCTATAGGTAGGATCATGAACTCTGACGTTTACTGTATTGACAGAGGCCTGTAGACCCTAACTGTGGTTCTTTGCGACCTCTAGGAGCATCATATGGTGTGATCTTGGGCCGAATTTGCTGGGACGCCCACTCCTGAGTAATTTGGCAATCATTGTAAATTATCTTTCTCACTTTGGAATGATGGTGATGATGGTGATGATGATGAGACCGAGACCATCACAGATATCTTTTGACCTAGGCATAATGCGTTACTACAAACCTGTATGCTCCTGACCAAGTTTCTGAATTTATATAAAGGTGGAAGCACATCCTGATGATCAAATAATTATGTGTGCTTGTTTAGCAGCACCTGATTCTCATTACCTTAATGGACAAGGAAGCAGTACGGATGCATTTACATTTTCACACAAAGCCTTCTGAATGTTGGCTGATTTTTTTAAATAATGACAAAAGTGAAATTTGTGTGTGTTATACGTCACATGAGATTAGATTTGTCAGCTGTTAGAGGACTTGGTGAGGACTAGGTGAAGGTTCGATACAGTATATCTTAACATATAAAACCACAGAATCTGAAGAGGGCATGCTTTCTTTTTCACATCACTCTGCCCACGCACTTTTCCACATTTTATTGTGTTACAATACGAGATCATAACGTATTTAATTGGGATTTTTCCCCCATGGACCAACACAAAACACATTAGAAGGTTAGCCCAGGGGGGAGACTCACTCCTCATTAGCCAAATCATTCCACCCCAGTTGCTTGTGCTTCTTATCAAATTAGAGAAAATGTTACTTACCTTTACGATGGCTAAGAACCGGTCCAAAGTACTGATGCCCAAAGAAAGCGTCCCTGGATAAAGCTGGAGTCGGCGGTGGAGATCAGTCAACCATCGAACTACCTCATCCCGCTGTGCTGGAGAGATATCTGTATCCTGATTGCAAATACAACAAACAGAGGCCACACTGAAGCTGCAGACAACATCCACTCTGTTAGAGAGAACAAGGCTAAATCTCATGATCTTCAATTACTCAAACAACAGCTATACTCAAGACTCTCATACTCGGGTAAAACCGAGCAATTCCAAGTAAGTCACAGAAATCTTTTGTTCTTTTTTTATTACCAACATTTTCCTACTGACTCTGAACTCTCTAGAAGGCAATAATCAAGAACAACTTACAAAGACCCCGGATCTTAAAATAAGCTTAAAGCTTTTTCATTGTGCAATTTCTATGGTAATTTTGATGTCTGACGCAGCCACTAAAAAAGGAAACTATTGTTGGGTCTGTAAGAATTGAAGAGTATTACAGCCAATGGCTCTCAGTGTCACAAAAGCACAAGCTAGATGGTTTACTGCCATGTCACTATAGTGGCCAACTCAAGACTGCAATTATAAAACTACATCTGAAAAGCAAAATCAGATTTTAAACCTGCATTTGTTTACTACAGGCCGGTTAAGGAGTTATTTTCTCAGACAGTGGAAGGCAGACGGAGATCTAGGCGTCATAAGTGCTTAATTAAATTGAAAAACCCACATATGTGCATGTAGGAACTATAGCTTCTCCTCGGCACACAGCTGAAGCGTCGCTTGTCACATTTGGAAAGAGATATTAAAGGCATAATGACTGCAAAACACAGAGTGACTCAGATCAAACAGATTTACTACAATTGAGGAACCACAAACATCAACCTGGAGAAGAAAAGGTATTTTATTCTTTGACACCCTACTTGTAATGCCTGCTCATCCGTTGTAACTCCTGGCTCTCAAGACTGACTGTACCACGGGCGATACTGGAGCCGAAAATGGTCAAATAGTTTGAAACGTCATCGAAATCTGATGCTAACTGCATCTTAAAAACCCAAGATGATCAGATGGGGACTTCTGGAATATTACTACAGTCGAGACAGCGTGATGACATTAATGAGAGCAATCTAGAACTAGTTCAGGCAATTCAAATTTTCTTTGAATCCATGGACATTTTTTTCAGGTTCGATCTGAGCTACAAGACATCCAAACCGAGGGCCTCGGTACATCAGTTTCTGGAACATTGTATACATCATCTAAAATTATTTGCTGTGTGTCACACATGTAGTACTGAATACTGTAACATCCTCATGCACCTCTTAAACCTCTATATTGTAAAGATAAATTAGCTTGATTTTAATTCAAATTACTGACAGCTTGGTTGGAGAATGGATCTGCACTGTATGCATTTGGCTTTGAAATGTCAGGATAAGAGAGAAAAGTAGTTTTCTTTTGTTAAAAAAAAAAGACTCCCGCTTATTCCTTTAAGAATATCAAGTTGCAGTTTTCATCTTTACAATCCACTTTGTAAACAGACAGCAGGGTTTTTTTTCCAATCTAAAGAACATGTGCTAAAGTAACCCACAAATGCACGTCACATGCAAGTCACATTTTTAAATGACCACCCTTCTTTCAGAGCTCCCTACCTGATTGGTGGGATTTTTCGGCACGTAGACCTTCCACATCGCGGCTTCCCTAGAAGTTGCCATTTCCAAAAGGAAAGACAACCTCTGGCTCTCCAGGGGCTCCGAGAACTTCATCGCGCCCCTTGGATTCGCCTGCCTCCCCACTGGATACAGCTACCTGAAAACGCCAGACCCAATCAACACCAGAACGTTAGAAAGGCAAGTCATTCTGCGGTCTGCCTCTGGATAGCACAAACAGCACACAACCAGGCCCCAGGATTGAGCATGTTAAGGAATGCTGTCCCTGTGTGTTGTGACGTTATTTTCCAACCGTCCCCCCCCGACACTAATCTGGGTGTGCAGACAGTATATTGGTTTTGGCATTTTTAAGTTAGTCATCTATTTGAATCACAAGTGCACCATCCCAGTGCCACAGAATTGCACTCTACACTCTTACTCCTTTCTTGGGGCAAAATCAAAATGCAAAACACAGTTTTAAGAACGCAGTTGGTAACGAGACTGTTCATGACACCTGGATTACTTCTGAGTGCAGCGTTGTATAGAAATAGTGTAGTGTATAAGGAAAGTACAGACATTATATATATATATGCTTACTAACATGTACACATGATAGAATATTTCAGTATAAGAAATGAAACCAAAAAAAAAACATACATATGACATAACACATACACATAAACCAGGGCTGCAGAATTCTACCTTGAAGAGCGACGCGTCAACTCATTGCTCTGACTTCAGAGGGAATCTCCCCCAAACGGGAGTTGCTACAGGAACCGAAACTGCTGCAACTCCTCAGAGCTCATGTGAGCTGATCCCTCTCAAGGTGAGGCAACGCTTGTCACTGCTCACGTCGACTGCGTGTCGTGCTGTCTTGCCATGACACCGACTTTGGGTTGACCTCGACACGGTAATTAAGCAGGCGGACAGACACCTCCCTGTGTCATTTAGTTCAAGCAGGTAAGACCTCTTGGCTGAAGGAAACGGGGTTTGGTTGGTTACTAAGCAGCGTCACTCTGGTGACTCTATCGATGCCTTGGTGAGGCGATACGGGGTGTGAGGTGTGCGTCACCCAGGGCGGCAGGTACGGTCATGATGACATTTCTTGTGGTCGTTGCGTGTGCAAGGCTCCAAGGATTGTTAAATTAGGGACCTACAGTACAGTTCACTCCCTCCTTCAGCTGATGGAGCCGTGCTGTCCAGGGGGGAGGGGCTGTACTGCTACAAAGGCAGTCCAGGAAACAGAAATGGCCGGAGACGAGCTGACCAATATCATCCACACAGGACGCGTTAACTGGGCAATGTACTTGAAACCCTGAGGTACATTTGACCTCAAGTGTATTTTGACTTCACACAAGCTCCGAAATGAAAACGAAAATTCGTTTTTTTCCCCCTGCATTGCGTGAACGTCCTCTCTATTTTGTGTTCTAGTTTCAGTGAAACAGAAATTAAACTTGTTTTTTTATTATTAATTTCAATTGTAAACACCCAGCTTCCATTGTATTGGCCAGCCCACGGTACAAATTAAGGAAGACGAGCAGAAAGACGTTTTCACGGCCTCACGATTTTCATTATTTTCAACAGAAAAAAAAACGTTTTGAAACGAGGAGAATACTACTTGACGATTCATTTGAAAGGACTATTCTGAACAAGACGATTATATTCAAATAACTCCTCTAATAGATGGAAAACATATTTCAATGTATAAAGAAAATAACACTATTTATTTATTTCTATGCAACGTAGTTTGACAATTGGGAGTATAAACACTATGCATGACTGAAAACACTGGAATTCGGGCATTTTGCCATTTGAACATCGTAAACTGTCCCTGTGCCGTACTACTAAGGTGATTTAATTACATTTTCTGAAGCTATGTAAATAACAATCGTCTCACCTCCCCTGCAAAGCTGCGAGAGTCACAGTTTGACTTGGCGATCATCCGGTCCGTTAAAGTGAGGCAAAATAAAAGGTAAATGTTATCTTCATTTTTTCACTCGTCCATCTTGTGTGGTTTCTGTGTTGTCTTTGGATCCGGGAAAGAGGGAAGAAAGAGTAATGAAGGGGGGGAAATCCTCCAAAATAGGGTATTTAAAATAAAAAAGGAACGGAATATAGACAAAAGCGTCTACTTCCGAAGGAGGGGACTAAAAGGAAAGAGAAGGGACCTGCCCACTACCTACTCGCTCCTCAATAGGCCATTCACAAGCGTCATTTTAGGAAATCAGCGACGCCTGGTTTTACCGACTGTTAAAAAAAATATATTATTGGTCGCGAGTGCATAATTAAATGAGTTATACGAAATGTGTGGTTTTAAATGCGTCGTTGAGGGGTGACTTGACACAGGACTATTTTCTAAGGCGAAGGCACCTTTTAAAAATGGCCGCATCGTTATGTAATGCGATTTCGTCTCTCTCTCTCCCCCCCTCCCTTTTGAGCGAAGGCTGGTTGTAAACAAGGAGCGGGGGAGAGGAGCAGACCGTAAGAGCCGACGTCCTTTACCAACACCGGCCAATTCTGTCTTTTTTTTTTAATATTGCTTATGGATACAAAAATCTCCTCGATCTCAACTGCCCAACTCTTCCGTCTTTTATTTCCCTTGAGGCATATAATTAAAACAACCCCTGAAGTAGATTAGATGAGTTTACCCTGGGTACGTTTTAAGTGGAAAAGTAGAATTATTACTATTGTTACCCCAATTACTGTATATAGGCAGCTTTAAATAAATTAGAGGAGAAAGTCTCATTTTCAATAACAACCTCACCAAGGGGTCTGCTCCTTGACAACCGAGACCAACAGATGCAATTAAAAACATTAGTCAAAAGAAAAAACCTACTTTCAGAGAAGGTACCAATGAAACATACATTTTGTATGTAAGGGGAGAGGAAAACAGAGTGAAGTTCTCAGTGATGAAAGGAACACCAGTCACACCCTTTATTACCAAGCATGAGAACATAAGAGCGATTACAAACAAAACAGGCCATTCTGCCCAAGACAACTCATTTGCTAGTTAGTAACTGACTCAGTGATCTCAACCAGCCATTTCTTGAAGAAAGCGGACATATCTGCAATAACCATAGTGGCAACACCTGTGTCTTAATAAGTAGCCTCTTCTAGCTCAGTGTTTTCCCATTTCACATTTTTAGTTCTTATTTTCATGATCTTTTTTCAAAGACCTGTCTACACTAACCATCATCAGCCAGATGTTTGCCCAATCTTGAATTTTATGTGAATCTTTATGAGGTTCAATTGCTATTTCTACACTCCTACTTTGGTATAATCTGTAAACGCAACTAGTTTGCTACAATTCAAGTCTAAATAATTTATATAAATCAGGAAGTGAAGTGATACTAATACAAATCCTCATGACACGCTACTAATTATATAAATCCTTGCACATTATACAACTTTTTATATATAAAGACTTCTAAAAATTGAACACATCACATCATATGATGTGCATCTGTGCAATACTATTGTTGTTTCTTCAATGAGCTCATTTTCACATTTTGTCATGTTCAGAACCTGAGATCACATTTCTAATTTACAAGTCATCCTTACTATTTGCAAGATGTTGAAATATTGAATTATATGCAAACAACGTGCCATCTGCTTCTACTGCACCTCCAGTCTGAGTACAAGCAAAATGTTTCTTCCCTGATATTACAGTATGTACTACATAACACAGATAACACTATCTCCCTTTTATATTCATCCACACCGTTTAATATTGCTGTAGAATTTGTCAGACAATGTTTCATGTGTTGATAATATTCTCCAAAGTCTTTAATCTAGTTTAAAGTTTATAATGTTCATTTAAGTTGCTCATTACAGTGTCCTCACATAAATATTCATGGACAGTCTTTCAATCCCTATATCACCTTGCAACTCACAATGGGTAGCCTAGTGAAGCTTAGTAGGTATGAATCTGGCCAGTACCTGGATGGGAGACCCCTGGGAAAGCTGAAGTTGCTGCTGGATGAGGTGTTAGTGGGACCAGTAGGGGGTGCTCATCCTGCTGTGTGTGCGGGTCCTAATACCTCAGTATAATGATGGGGGCACTATACTGTAAAAGAGGTGCTGCCCTTTGGGTGAGAAACCAAACTCCTTGATCTCTGTAGTCATTAAAAATTACAGGGCATTTTCTTGAAAAGAAATCACTCTGTTCTCCTCCCCACTGATAGCTGGTGTGTGCTGAGTGTACTGGTGCACTATGGCTGCCGTTGCATCATCCAGGTGGGGCTGCACACTGGTGATGGTAGTAAGGAGTTCCCATGAATGGTAATGAGCTATGTCGGTGTACAGATAGTATTATTATAACCACACAGAGTATTTTTCAGATTTCTTTAAAACAACAATATTTTCTTCATATCTGATATAATCAGGATTTGACTTGAAAGGAAGGATATGATGACTTTGAAACCTTTGTGAGCATAATAAAAATTTTCCTTAAATTTGTACAGTTTTTGTAGTTTATTTGAAACTGATGTTGTTTGCACACTTTCTTACTTAACAAGGATATATAACATGGATATTCAGTAGTCTGTGTATTTTCTCTCTCACCTTGGAGCTGTGGTAGCTCAGACGACGAGGGCATCTGGCTCCTGACTGGAAGCTCCTGGGTTCAATCCCAGGTAGGGGCAAGTGTAGCTTGCTCTAATTCCTTCCAGATAGCTCTCGGGTCCACTCAGCCTGCTTTCCAAATGAGTACCAGGGGTTAATCCTTCTGGGGATAATAGGCTGGCTGGAGCGTGATGCTGACCACATCACCTCCACCTCTAGTGTTGGATGGTTGAGAAAATGCCCCCCATTCCCCCCCTGGGCCTTTATGGCCTGAAAAGGGGACCTACCGACCTACCTCTCTCACCTTGTTACCATGGAAACACAGATAAGACACAGTTCTCCCCTACCCTTGGTAACATCCTCATATAAAACAAGCAAAAACGGATGCAAAACCTGTTCAGTGGCTTGTGTGATATTTGAACATACGAAAGATTACGGACACAGACCTACAAATTCATTACTAGGGTGAAAGTGTCATAGGGGTAACGTAGATAAAACACCACTAAATATACACACTATACTGGTGCATCTTTTTAGACAGAGTATAGCAGAGACTGGTCGTACAAAATTTCTTGGCACATAATCACATACCACAAAACAGAAAGAGGAAACAAGGTCAACATGATTTTCGAAACGTTTCATGGCATTGGGTATACGAGATTTGGTCTTTAATCATTTAGGGAGTTTCAGATTAAACTAAATCGAACCCAGCAGTAACAACTGTTGTTTACATGAAAACAAACTACCGATTCAAAGGTGGGCGTGTGGGCCCCTACAACACAACGCCCCTCTCCGTCTGGAAGTACAAAACAGGAAGACCTTTTTTACTAGCAGCCAATGACGACAGAAGGGACGCAGAGCGCTGGCCAATCACGAAACACCTTTCCCTACCTTTGGCCAATCGGCGCTCATTATTTTGGGCGGATTTTTCAAACACACAAAACAAACCGGACCCTTTAAAGGCGGTGATTCGCCCGCCCTCACGAATGCAACAACACCTCAAACTCAAAATAGAGGCTCGCCATTAAATATTGAATAAAGCAACGAGAATAAACCGTATTAACGAATAAATTGTATTTTAGTGATGTATGCAGGCAATCGCTTAGATGCATTGCAGAGCCCAGACAAAATATTTTAATTAAATTGAGACAGGGACTATTTGATTGCGGCTGGTGTGGCTCCTTCCGCTCTTCGGTGACGTATTTCGTGGGCGTGGAGAAGACTAACGTCAACAAGAATAGAAAGACAAGGAAACAGAAGAATCTGAGAAACTGAGGAAATAATGTGTTTTTTACACTTTTCCTCGCGTTAAACATTACAATGGAGACTTGAGGGGGAGAGAAGCTTATGTATATACATAAGATCGTAGTATTATTTTATGTAAATACATATATTTTTACGTTTTCTTCGGAGATCTGAAAAGAATTCTCTTAAAAGGTAAGTTCATGTTTTTTTTTCAATGTAACTGAAGAAATTGTCGTGCTAATACAAATACTTTTAACTTTTGCCCTATACATGGATCCGTACCCGCTAGGTGCACAGTATTAATTAGTTTTATGCCATATTTTCCGTGTTGTAGTGCGAAAATATTTAAATCAGTGTCGCTTTCTTCATAGCTGGTTAAAAACAGTGGCAAGTTTATAGCTTTTGTGTGGGCATTGTAACGACTTTTTATTGCGTGCCTTTTTCTTGTCAAGTGATAATATCAATGTTTCCACCATCCTCACTATATTTAACATTTGATCATAGTCTGATATCAAACAACAAAGCCACCCCTGTCGCTACTGAATACACTCTAATCGTCTCCAATTTACTGTTTCTGTTTTTTTTTAAATAGATACTCGATTTGTGGGCTACCGATATATATATATAAACATAGTTGAACAGTTGGTGTGAGCATCACTGAAAATTAAACGTATATTTGATTAAACATTTTTGATAGTCCCAACACATTAAAAATTGGCCGTTAAGCCTCAAAAACGGCTTCCGACTGTCGCTGCCCCGTTGTTTTGCGATCGGATCTGAAACGACCCCAATCGCTCTTCAGTCGATGTTCATTTCTGAGGAAAATGAAGGGGTTGTTATTGTGGAAACTGTAAACCGAGCGCAGGACAGCCACCCCTCCTCCTCCGAAAAAGATTCTTGACATTTTTCCCCACTTTAAAAACCACTTCGCCCATCGAGAACCAGACACTCACCCCGCACGATTGTCTTTTATTAGTTCCGGTTAATTTAAATTATTTTGTGTTTTTAGCACGTAGGGGTGTTTAAGAGTGTTAGACGTCCGACGAATAATGTTTTTATTTTGTGGATTAAACAAAGAAAATGTGAATGAAGCCGCCGCTCGATTGCTGTATTGCGTTGTCGGGAGATTGGGGGGGTTTCAAATCTTCGGTAAATCACGTTTTTACGCCGAGCAGAGAGCTCAAATCAGCTGATTATATATACATAAAAAATATTTATCTCCGCTGGAAGACACAGGCGTTCCCCCTGATACGTGACACCCGTGTCGGACTCGCAGAGGAGGCGGGGCCGAGCTCGGAGACTCCGACCTTGCCCTGTAACTACAGCCAGTGAATGCGAGGTCGATCGATACTGTAACTGACTGGGCCGACCTTTTTTTTTTTGTTATTTTTATTTTTGAAGATGAAGGGGTTCCCATCGCTGGAGCAAAGCACGGAGGCCTTCAAACTTCTGAAGCAACTGAAGCTGCACGCAGAACAGGAGGCGAACTACCTGCCCCGGGGAGCAGGGCTGAGTCTGATCGAGTCCACTCTGGAGGTAACCTAATTATAAAGTAGCCTTCGACCCCTGGGTCAGATCAGCGCACTGTTTATGATCTTGTTGCCTTGGAGCCCAAGGCCAGCGCATTCTCCGAGTGTGGCTGTGCACAGCTGTGTTTCGGAACAAGTAAAAGGTTTATTCCCCGCTGAAAAGACAAGAAAGGAAACAACGTTTTGGCTTTGGAGGCTTCTTCACCTGATTATATGAAAAATATTTATCGTGCATGGAATAAACATGCAAACATGAATAAGCATGGAATAAACCTGTATCTCACACCCGAGGAAGGCTCCACAGTCGAAACGTTGTTTCCTTTCTTCTCTTTTCAGCATGGAATAAACCTATTACTTGTTCCTTTGCAGCCCACGAATACAGACGCAGCTCCCTACTTGAACTACAGTTGTGATTCTCTGGCTTTCTTGCTTTATATAGTTTTATATTTGTAATTTTGGTGTGTTGTATTCATCTCTCTTTTGAGTTAATTTTTTAAAAAAGGTATCTGAAACTGATTCAAACTGATGAAGTTCAAGTGTTTTAGAAATCTGCAAACTGTCTTTCCAAACAATTGACTATGTAAGCAGCACTGTGGCATCTTGAAGCTCGAATCTTGGGTTTTGAAATTTGATGTCTGAGTTTTTCTGTAAGTGCGTAACCATCTGTCTTACGTCTGTTTCCCAGAATGCCAGCAGCATCTCGGTCAAACTCAGGGATGCCAAAGTCGAAGATCTCTGGAGCCTGACAAATTTTTTTCGATACAGAACTCAGACCTTTGTCCTAGCCGTGAACCTATTGGATAGGTTTTTGGCAATGATGAAGGTAAGATTTAAGTACTTTGAACTTAAGAACATCACAGGAAAGGTTATAGAGGGCATTTGTCTCGTCTACCCTCCTTGGTGTTTAGTAGTCGACTGATCCAAGGGTCTCATTCAGCCATTTTTTAAAGAAACCAGGATGTTGGACATTGGTAGCAAATTGGAAAATGGCTGGGAGGTGTTTGTTTTGTTTGTATCAGTAACATTTGTAAGAAGAACGTGGTTAAAAGTTCATGTTTACAGTCATGAGCAACAGTCTTGGTAGTTACACTGGGTCTCATATTTCACTTCTTCTGTGCCTTTGCTCAGGTCCAGCCCAAACACTTGCCCTGCATCGGAGTTTGTTGCCTCAATATCGCAGCTAAAGTAGTGGAGGAGGAGTGCAATATCGCAGCCACCCATGAACTCATACGCATAAGCCAATGCAAATTCACCGTCTCGGACCTCAGTCGAATGGAGAAAATCATTTCTGAAAAGCTGAAGTTTCAGTTCCAAGCTGTGACAGCCTTAACCTTTTTGCACTTATACCATGCAGTTGCACTTTCACATACCTCAGACAGGTAAGTTACCTCTGCAGGCTGTATATGTATAAATTGCCCTTAAATGCAGCTTTATGGCTTTTGTACTTTAACAAAAGGACCAGTTCAATGTTCATATGGGCTCGCCCCTCCATTAGAAAGGAGCATTGCAAGCACGAAATCTGGAAATGCTTATTTTAAAAAGGAGTGTCGTAAGTTTAGAAAAAAAAAACCTAAGCACTCCTTTGAACTTGTGGTAATGTGATCAGAAAGCAACATTAATGTGCAGTGTATTATAACATGGTGCAAGCGGATCTCAATTGAAGAACTGAGGTTTTGCATTTGTACTATTGTATAACGCCTCTTGCATGCAAGCTCTGTCCACCCTGGTGCCCCAAAACGTCTCCACTAACTTTATTGAACATTATTTGATTGCATCATAATAAGCAACCGTTCGTTTTGTTTTTTAAAGGAAAGAGATGTTGAATCTCGAGAAACTGGAAGCACAGCTAAAAGCCTGCCTCTGTCGACTTGTGTTCTCCAAAGCAAGAGTAAGTTCAGTGTTGATTTCCGTCCTGCGCTTACAGAGGAGATGAGTGGCTGTATGGAGTCTCATCGTATCTATTTTGTTTTTACAGCCGTCAGTATTAGCTCTGTCCCTCCTCACTTTAGAGACTGAAGCTCTGCAGTC